TGAAGAACATGCTGTCAAACCAATTGTTGCTTTACCTTTTTGTGCCACCAAAGCACGCACGGGCTGAGTAGGTAAACAATTCTGCTTGAATAATTGTCGAAGGATCTCCATTTGTGCAGCATTGAACGGACTGCTTTCTGTAATATTTTCTTCAACAGTGGAAGCAACAATATTTCCTTGACGGTTTCCATTGCTCTCTGTTCTTTTGGCCTTATTCTCGCTGGGTGTCTTGTGCAACTTCCAGCATTTCTCGCGGATGTGGCCGAGTCTCCTGCAGTGATCACAGTATGGTCTTCCCTTCTTTCCATGGGAATCAGACCGCATGGTGAGTGCAGAGGTACTTTCGGCAGAGTAGATAGGCTGAGCTTCTTCCATCATCACCCCCCTCCTGCTCTCCTCTTCGGATTTCCGCAAATACTTCTTGGATGCTGGGTAGTGGTTTCATTTCCAACACCCGTCCACGAACCTCATCCAGATTTTTGTTGAGCCCCATCAAGAATTTGAAGATTCTTTTCTGCTCAACAAAGAGTCTGAATGTCTGAGCATCATTTGGACAACTCCACTGATGCTCCTCGAAGGTATCCAGTTGCTGCCAGTTTCGGGTTAGTAAATTAAAGTACTGGGTAACAGAAAGCTCACCCTGACGTAGCTCATGGAGAGTCGACTCCACCTCGAAGATGGCAGAGATATTATCTTTGCTGGAGTACGATTCGCGAGCTGCTTTCCAGATTTCCTTCGCTGTTTCATATAATATGAAGTTTTCACCAATGTCGGGCACTATTGAGTTAATAAGTCACGACATTACCATGCTATTCTCTATTTTTCAGACGCGAAAACTTGGGTCGCTGGTTGCGGGAGGAATAGTTTCACCTGTGAGGTAATCGTCGCAGCCCTTGCCGCGAATAAGCAGTAAGACAGAGGTTGACCATTGAAAGTAGTTCTGTCCGTTCAGTTTGTGCCTTGTGATGAACGATGATGCCTGCTCAACTAGGTTGTGGTTCGGAGTTGCAGGGAGGTAGGAACCCGAAGAGACTTCGGGAGGAGAGGAATTGAGCTTGTTTGTGGCCATTTGAATTCTGGTTCAGCTAGAAGAAGCTCTCGGATCAGGGTTTTGATACTATGAAGAGTTTTGTGAATGGAGATTTTGTGAAGGAATTCTCTTTTTTTTCTCTTATTAATTTCAGGCACCAAAGGGGACCATTTATAGAAAAAATCAGGCATCTTTTCAGAAATATAAAGAAGGGGTGATAACAGATTTCTAAGATTTCTGTTGTTACCATGCCACCTCACCTTCTAGAAGAATGACTCCTCACCTACTAAGAATATTCCACTCTGTATAACAGAATGGAGAATAAGAAGTACCTAATTTATTACAACATTTTCTACATAAATCATATTTATAAAGCTCCCAACTGATCTGTTCTATCGGAGTACCTAATAAATTTTCTTCAAATTCCATCCTAGACCTTCAACCTGTTGGTTGCTTTCAGAAGATGGTCTTGTCTGGAAAAAATCCAAATGTTTATTAAATTCTGCATTTGGTAACAGTCATATCCCAAGTCTTTTCACCAGTGATCAGAAGCAAACAAAATGTTACTTTCTTGGAAATAAAGGCCTTGCCTTGACAAATTCTTGTTGGCGGTTGAATTTCTCTGTTGTCAACACAGGCTCAGTTTTCCATGCATGTGTTTCAACTTCTCCTGTGCTTCTTATTTTTATTATATCCTTTTATCTTTTGTTAAACAGGATGAATGGACCGGTGAGCAAAAACTTCAATATGCTGACATTCCAGAAGATATTGAACCTGAAGAAATCCGGCCTATGGGAAATTATGCTGTGTCAATAACATGGCCAGATGGATTTAACCAGGTGATTGACACATCTCCTTTGATAGTAATTTATATATATATATATCTGGATCTGGGAGAAAGTTGACCACAACTGGAATATAGTTGCTCTAAAATCTGACTTAGACAGCTGATATTCTCATTTTAAGTAGAGGTTCTATATTGTGTAACAAGAAAATATATCCCTGCACTGGAAATGCATAACATGATATCATATTATGATGCTCTTCTGTAAATGAGGATCAACCCGTCTGAAAGCTATATTTACCTATAAGGATTGCTAACCTGGAAGCTGCACTTCATTCCATTCTTAAAGTTCTTAACCATCAAAATTAGCAATGACTGATATTGGTATCAGTAATATCATGAGTTCTCATAGCTGCAATTATTATAACCTTGAAACTCAAGATTTCTAATCTTTTTCTTACGGATTTCACACGATAGCTATGCTAATCTTATTTATGTTTAGCAAAAACATGCCTGCATCGCAGTACTTCTTGCCACCCACGTAAATAACTGTGGCATAGAGCAAGGTTTCATATGTCCAATTCAGGTCTTCATCCACTGAATTGAGCAGGGAAACTAAATGGTAGCACCTCGGTATTTTAATTTTTTCAAATTTGTGTAGTGAATGTTAATACATAAATAATAAATTTGTGTTTTTATGAGCTTTAAATTTTTTGGAAAATAACTCTTATCGTTCAGCATATTCTCATAGCCACAGATCTAATGTTATAAACAATAGATTTTAGATCAATTCCTATCAATACAAATTTTTTGTTCAACTCTATTATCTTGTAGTGATGATTAATTATTTGATTTCTTTGTGATATTGTTCCAGATCGCTCCTTATGATCAGCTGCAAATGATCGAGCGGTTGGTTGATGTTCTTCAACCAGTGGTTGTGGAAGCATGATATTACATTCAATTCTTACACTCGTAAACTACTTCAGCATCACCAGCTTCACAAATACAGTTTTGAAGTTCTCATTAGATTCTCCAGCAAGGAAAAATGGTACTGAGATGAAGATTGATGTAGTGTAGAGTGTTAAAGATATTTTTTTAAGTCTGGTTGTAGCTGTAAACAAACAGATCTATGGTAGTTATAAAGCTTCTTTGCTTTGCCTTTATATTTTCTTAATTTTTCGTTCTCATGCTTCTATATTTTTGAATGAATATTGGGGCATAAAAAAAAAATCGGATATATACTCAAAACACCTTTATACTATTCAAAATTATTCAAATTGACTATATTTTAGATTTTGTTTGAGTCATAATCATCCACAAAGCTGATCTAACCTGATTCTGTTGTTGCCATCACGTATCAGTTTACTTGATTCTATCATTTACTTTCACACGTCAGACTCTGAATCTACTAGAAGATTGACGTCTTTACGTTTTTGTAAACGACGTGGCGTGGATAAGGATAAGTTAGCTCATTGAGGATCTAGCGAGTAAGATTTGAGAGATAGTTCTTATGGTAAATTTAAAATTGTTAAAAGGGCTTCATGTTCTAAAGTCTACTGCCCAAGCTTGATAGGAAAAGGACACGAGCTGCCACACCAAAGAAGAGGGAGTACGTGTAAAGTGTACGTGTGTGTATATATATATATATATTAGGTTAAATAAAAAATTATATTATGCTGATAAGGTGTATGTATATAGGAATTTGAGGGGAAATATAAATAGTTCGCATTTACCCTCGAAGTCTTTAGAACATCATTTTTACTCTTTCAAAACTCTAGGTTTTCTCTATCATTCCTCTCGAATACTTTGTTTTGTTTCCTTGATTTCCTTTGTGTTTCTGCCTTTTATTTATAGAGTCTTGTAAGTTTGGCTCGTGAGAAAAGGTTGGAGGATCTCAAATCATTGGAAAGAAGCTAGGTAACTTCTTATATGGTATCAAAGCGAGGAATGGAGAGTGGACACATGAGCTAGACCATTATTCAACCAAACTCGTCGTCTACAGGTATGATCATTCTAGATCCATCAAATCTTTGTAGTCTATATTATATTGGAGCGAATAAAAGCTCTGGTGCAATTTTAATTACTAATCCACTTGAAACAAATAACTATCATACATTAGTAAGGGTACTGAAAAAGGCACTAAGAATTTAAAAACAAGTAAGAGTTCTTCGATGGAACTCTAACTAAACCAACAGATCCATAAGATCTATTAATACCACATTAGTAACAATGCAATGATATGGTAATCACGTAGATTCAAAACATATTATCCTCAAATATAAAGCGTAACGCGTTTTATGTTGAAACAGTGCATTAGCCATGACTTGAACTCGAACAAAGGCATGTGACATAATACACCACGAAGGTGAAGCAAGTGATTGCAAATCTTATGTAAAACCAAGATCCGATGAGTGTTTATTTTTCCAAGTTGAAGGATTTATTTGATGAGCTATTGAATTATAAAGAATTATTGAATTATACATGTGGGAGGAGTTAAAAAGATAGTAGAATATAAGTAGAGAGACTTTGTGATGAAGTTTTTAATTGGATTAAACAAGTCTTATAAAGCTATTAAGGCTAAAGTCCTGTTAATTAAACCCTTCCTCAGATTGAAAGAAGTATATTCTCTTATACAATAAGAAGAATAACAGACAAAAGTCTTAGTAGATAATTTATCGAATAGAGCCCTAGCATTTAGTGTGAAAGATGCAAATAAAAACCCTAAAAGCCCAAATCCTAATCGGAAAATGTATTGTTATTCATATTATAAAATGAATGGACATTCCCTCGGAAGATGCTTTAAGGCAAATTCAAATAAAGTTGTATGGTCGAATTGTAATATGCCTAAGCACAATGTTAAAGCTTATTATAAGCTTCAAGGTTATTCGAAAGGATGGAAAGATCAAGGTAAGGTCAAACACTCTAATGTCAATCATGTGTTAGTTACTGAACAATCACAACCAAGTTAGACAAGCAACTCATTCTCTTACAAGAGTAATATAATCAAATTGTAGAGTTGCTTTAAGGAAGTCAACCCTTAGCTCATATGGTTCGGTCATCCTCAAGATTTTCACAAGAGCCTACATTTGTTGGTCTCTCTTATATGTCTTTATATAACAATATAAATGCAGTAGATTCAGAAGAATAACATAACATCCCATGGATCATTGATACCGATGTATTTAATTACATAATCACATCACCACATTTGTACTTAAATATCACTTATAACACTTTACCTTAAGTGGTCTTACTAAATGGAAATAAAATCAATGTATCTCATATGGGAACAATTAAAATAAATGATAATTTGATCCTACATAATGTATTTTGGGTACAGTTATTTAAATTTAATTTAATATATATAAAAAAATAGCATGAAGCACTAAATGCTCCTTAATATTTACACTAGAATTATGTGTGATACAAGACCTTATAACGTGGAGAATTCTTGGAGTAGGTGATGTAAAGAATGGGTTTTACCAATTTAGGTCAGGACGAAGGATCAAGGAATTATCTCAACAAACGTGATGTTTGTCCTTTAGCAAATATGCACATACTTCATTTTCCTATTAGTGAAAGTAACACAAAACATTGTCTTGACTTAATTCATTATGACATTTGGGGACCCTGTAATAAAGTTTTGGATGATGGTTAGAATTTTTTTTCAATTATTGATGATTATAGTAAATACACTCAAGTGTATTTGTTAAAAACAAAGGTTAAGACTAGCCCTAATTTATAAAACTTTTGTACTTTAAGTGAGACCTAGTTTAGTAAGAAAATTAAGATGATCCAAAGTGACAATGACAAAGATTCAAGACAAAAGAGTTTTATGCAGATAAAGGTGTAACTAATAAAAGTTGTGCAGGAAAACAATATCAGAATGGGAGAATTGAAAGAAAGCATCAGCAAATAGTCAATGTAGCTAAGGCTTTAAAGCTTCAAAGCAGGCTTGACTTAAAGTACAAGAGTGAAATGGTTTGGGTGCAGTTTACTTGATGAACAAGATTCCATCATAAGAAATTGGCAATAAGACTCTATATGAGGTATTATTCAAAACTAAACCTGACATAAATATCTTAAAGTAGTTGGTTGTTTAGCATATGCATCAATCTTAAATGCAGGAAGACACAAGTTGGATCCTAGAGCCAAGAGATACGTATTCTTTGTGATGCAAAAGGGATGGGGAGGGATAGTTTTGACTCTCAGAACCTCACACAATGTAACAAGCAAAAAGTTTAACCACCTAATTTACCCTCCCTACTTGAACCACAATTAATTAAATTGTTTGCAAACCAAGGTAACTTGAAAAGGAATTAAGGAATAGAAAAGACGTCATGACTTATCTAATAAGTCGATTCTGAATCCTTAGCTCAAAAAAAGCGGCCTAAAACTCCCTAACTTGAAAATGCTTAAAGACCATTCATAATTAGCAAAGTAATTGAAAAACCAAAGCTTTAATTTTATTAAATTCTCAAAATTAAAAGTTGTGATTACTAAGTTATGGGTGCTAAGTAGGATTACATATTCCTACTTGAACAGTTAAACATACTTAGACTAGAAAGCGTAAATCAAAATATTGAAATATTCTAATTCTAATCCAAACTTAATAAAATAATTAAAATAGTTACTAATTTACTTGAAGAAGAATTCCTCTCCTCTTAGCCAAATCTCTGTGTATTTATCTTTCTTAAACTTCAAATTTCAGTAGAATTCCTTCTAAATATCAACATATTAATCACATGTGAAAATTAGAAAATTTGTAGAAGTTCTTTTGCTTGGAATCATGTGGGGATAGGGAAAAGAAGAAAAGAAGTCCTCTTCGGACTCAAAACAATTTATTCGCATGAGGTAGGCGCGTGAGGAAGCTTCCACACATGCGCGGCTTGATTGCGTTTGGGGTAGGGACAACCCACACAAATGCAATCCTGCACGCGGTCTGCTCATGTGTATGTTCCTGCGTGCTTGCGGTATCCCTTATCTGCATAAGTGCGCTCCAAGTGCACGGTACCCATGCGCGTACAGCTCGCAGACATGTAGGGCTTTGTATGCGCATTGTGGCCATATGTATGGCCTACTTGCCTTGCTCATGTGCTCATCCCAACGTGCGGTAAGATCCGTCGGCATCTGTAGGCCTCCTTCTCTCATGCTCAAGTTTTAGCCAATCATGGGGGCTGTTCTTGGGAGTGGATGGTCTTTCTCGCACGGGCACACAAGTGGGTGTGCACACTACATTTGTTCAAAGGTGCAGCTTCCTCGGGCCAAGCCTTTCTTTGGCTGTGAGGCCTTGCTAGGCCCTTGGTTTGGCCAATGATTGGTCCACTTTCTTCTATGCGCATCTCCAGGCCGATGAGTTTCTTTTGGGACCTTTAGCCCATCTCTTGGATTTGTTTTGGGCTTTTTTTGTGATTAATACTGTTGAAGATTAATGTAAAACTGATAAATTATTTTATTTATTAGTTTGAATTCAAATAGGATTTATCTTTAATTAGATTAAAATATATTTATTTTTAAAAAATTATGTTATTAGTAGGAGTTTATCTTTTAAAAGATTTGATTTATATGTATCTCTTAGATAGTGGTATATTATTTTTAGTAAATTTGAATTTGATGTAAATCTATTTAAAGGTACTTTAAATTGTTAAATGTGAGAGAGTGAAGTCAATGAAAATTTAAGTTTGTTTCATCCTGAAAAAAAAATTCCAACAAGTGGTATTAGAGCTTTGTTGATTAGGAATATGTGAGGAAAAAAAATAGAAAGAGAAGATAAGAAAGTTTCATACATCAAATATGACTTCAAACACCTTTCCTTTAGCCTCACCTCCCATTTTTATAGGAGAAAATTATCAATTATAAGCTGTGAAAATACAAATATATTTACCGTCTTTTGATTTGTGGAATGTGGTTGAAAATGATGGTGAACTCCCACCATTTCCATTTCATCCAACTGCAACTCAACTAAAGAATCATAATGAAGAAAATTTCAAAAAGTACAAAGCGAAAACTTGCTTGTACTCTTCAGCTTCTGAAGTGATTTTTACTAGCATCATGACTTGTGAAACTCCAAAAGAGATATGAGATTTGCTTAAATCTGAGTATTTAGGCAATGACCAAACCAAGTTGATGCAAGTTTTGAATCTTAAGAGAAAATTTGAGATTT